CTTACTTAGAGCACAGTGAGCCAATTTTCAAAGATTTAAATATCCTAGACATCTTCAAAATCAATGACTATTTAACTGCCTTATTTATGTTTCGATACCACCACCTTAATAATTTACCAGATTTCTTTAAAATAATACGAAAATTCTCCCTTCTTTTTCTCTTTTGTACATATAGTATATATACGTCAAAACTTTCTGATTTTACACATTGTATTGATTGACTGTAAATAATTAATGTAATCTATCGCAAATGAACAGAAACTAGAGGCCTAAATAAAAAAGTCTATCAAGATTTCTAGTAGGTCTCTAGCCCAAAATCTTTAAATTATTGTAACATATTTTAAGTAGCTTTTTTTATATATATACATGGGAAAACAATAAAAAATTTAAAAAAAAAAAAAAAAAAATTAACTTACCTGCACAATACGCCAAAACGCAATTTGCTGGAGTCTTTAACTTGTAAATATAATATCCACTACAATTACGAACACGTATATTGTAGCTGTAACCCCAACCAAATAGTACATTGGCACAAGCTTTTCTTGCCACTATTCCATCCTCGATGGTGGGATGGGAACCATTCATCCAGATAGGAACATAGGTTCCACAGCTTCCGAGTTTAGGCCTTGTTGTTGGCATTTCTCCGCCAGCTTCGCTTGAAAATCGATACCAAGCGTTGTCCTGTAGCAAGTGTCTATCGCAAAGATGGTTTATCGTATTATTTGAGGACGAAACGTCATAGCCTGTACTTCGACGTGGATCGTTGATAGTTTTGTAATGTGTCCCGTAACAATTACTAGCAGTTGAATCGCTGGGACTTAACAGTGTAAACGCAGTTATGATAGATACTAGTATATAACTCATCATTCTGGAAACCATAATGTTGAGATCTTTCGAATTCGTTCTACTTTCCGAATTTTATATTTACTTTGCAGTTTGCAGTAGCTTTGCATGTTATGCACCTATCAATGTTAATCCCGAGGGAGGGGGGGTCGGGCAAGGGGTGGGGATTTGACATTTTTACAAAAAAAAATGTCAAATGCCACTCCCTCGGGAGAAAATTCCTG